CCCTGGTTTAGAGTATGAACACAAAGTGACGGCTACATGAGTGACAACACATATCCGACCTGTACAAGCACCAATGTAACATTTCTTCAAAAGGGTTTAAAATGTACTTGATCCCTGAATGATGCCAGAGCCACAGTCCGGTTCATAATCAGATCCAGATACTGGACCTTTCCAGCGCCGCGCGGTTGAACGGGGATGCGGAGGGGTGCTGGCGGTACTGACCGGAGGACGCGGAGCGGAGCGGTGGCCTGTGCCGCTCTGGGGGTCTAATAACGGACAGCTCCTCGTCTCCTTGGCAACGACGGGACTGGAGTGAGTAGCGGGGCTCGGCCGCTCTCGGGGTTTTCATCTGAAACGGAGCACAGTGATGCCACTTTATGACTGCAGTATGAGTCAACGAACACACCCTCTCTCACATACAGTCACACACGTGTTAGTTAGTACTTTCTCAAGCATCTATTAGGAGGACCACATGAGTTATCAGATGTACAACTGAAGACTCACAGGATGAGTCCACCTACGCCAAAGCGCTGATTATTTTTATTAGTGCAAATCTGAGCTCCCTTGTGTGTCAGTGCAGAGCCGGCCAGCACATACCAATCTGCTCTCATCTTGTAAATGTTGTTTGCGGAGGCACCAGGGCAGACCGAGGTAGGAGATGGAGACCTTAAATAAGCGGCATGAGAACACCATCGCAACTGCACTCATTACTATCAGTGGGACCCACAGGACTATCGTGGTGCTCTGAGAAAGAGAGGGAGAGAAATATAGAGAGCCTTCATTTATTGTATATTTACTGAGTGCACTGCATACTGTAGATCGTGACCAGTGCACTTTTTTACTGTTTACAGTTTGTTCCAGAACAATTTTGCATCCCCAACCTTGCTGTAGCCTTCATTATACCTTTTTTTGTTTTGTTTTGTTTTGTTTTGTTTTGTTTTGTTTTGTACAAACAACAAGAGTATAACCAAATATGTCAGGGGTATAGAAGAAAAAAAGTATAGAAATACATTGTAGCCTACATCTTGGTAACTCTACAATAAGGTTCCTAACTACATTGGTTTACATAAACTAACAATGAAAAATACCTCGGAAGCATTTCTTAATCTTTGTTAATGTTAACTTAGTAATACATTATTAAAATTAAAAGATAATATGGAGCCTTTTCACATTTCCTGGCTTCTCAGAAGCAGAAGTCATCATTAGTTGGTAAAGGTGAGCAGAAATTATAACAAATTTGTTTTATTATTATTATTATTATTTTATTTTTTGGGCGTTCACCCAAAAATGAAAATTCTGTCATTAATTACTCACCCTCATGTTGTTCCAAACCCGTAAGACCTCCGTTCATCTTCGGAACACAAATGAAGATATTTCTGAAGGAATCTGACAGCTCTCTGACCCTCAGACAGTAAGGGCCCTTACATGATCAAGGTCCAGAAACATAGCAAGGAGATCAGTAAAATAATCCATGTGACATCAGGGTTTCAACCGTAATTTTACAAAGCTACGAGAATACTTTTTGTGCGCAAAATAAAAAAAAAAACGACTTTATTCAACAATTCGTGGCACAGCTGACACAAAACAGCATACGCAATTTACGTTCAGTGGATACTCTCCAAAATGGCGCTAGGGTGATGCGGAGGAGACGAATTGTTGAATAAAGTCGTTTTTTTAAAAATTTTGCACGCAAAAAGTATTCTCGTAGCTTTGTAAAATTATGGTTGAACCACTGATGTCACATGGATTATTTTACCGATGTCCTTGCTACATTTCTGGACCTTGATCGTGCAAGGACCCTTGTTGTCTATGGGAGGTTCAGAGAGCTGTCAGAATGCATCAAAAATATCTTCATTTGTGTTCCAAAGATGAACGGAGGTCTTACGGGTTTGGAACAACATGAGGGTGAGTAATTAATGACAACATTTTTGGGTGAACTATCCCTTTAATCATGTTAGTGTTATACATCAAGTAATAATAATAAAAACAAGTTGCTAGAATTATGATTGTTAAAATGCCATCACAATGTGAAAATTATTTAATGGACGTGAGCTAACGAGCTAACAATGAACAGTTGTATTTTTATCAACTAATGTTAAAGATGAACAAATGCTGCAACATATGTATTACTCATTGCTAGTAATGTTAATGTAATGCATTAACTAATGTATTAATGTTAAATAACGTGTAACAATAAAGTGTTACATCCTAAACTATTGCATTGTTTGTATTGCTTTGTATTGTACGTTTTTACTTTTAGATATTGTTTCCAAATACATTTTAATGTCAGTTTTAAATATTTAAAACATTTTGACATAATGAGCAAATATAATTAACATAATGAGCAAATATAATAATTATATATAAATAAGTACTAGATTTTTATCACCATCCAGTGCTAAACACTGTAGCATTACATCAGCTTCTACAAAATGAACAACAATCTTAGCTTCTTTTTGTAAATAATACTGTACATTATACTCACCTATCTACACATCATAATGTATTTTATTTTATGTTGTATACTATACCCATATAAAAGTCACCTTGATATCTGGTGTGGAAGCAGCATCATGCAAAAGCAAACGCTTACAGCTACCAGTGCCACTGAAATGGGTTATTTACAGTTTTCCATAATTAGTTTATTCCACTAATGCCATAATAGTGGGGTTACTGAGATAAAACAAGTAATTTTTTTGGCTGTTCATGTGATCTTGGCCCCAATTAGGCTACTGATATGAATGTAGGCTAAAACATTTTGAGCATTCACATTACTATTAATGTCTCTATGTGTAAAACTTTTTAATGAGGAAGAAATTACTAAGTGCACTTTTAATGAGTAGAGACTCACGTTATGAACAAAATGATCTGATCCAATGCGCTCCTTTGAACAGCATGAATAAAAATAGGGATTATGACAGAAGAAAATGTTATTCCTACAAATGTGCACATTTTGTATTTTAAGTTAATGAGCACAATATGATGAAATCCAGTGGAAGAATATTGCATCAGAAAAGCTCCAGTTTAATATTGACAGCTCTGGCAATTCCAATAAACCCCAATTTAGCCATTAAAAATGTTAATATTGAAGAATCGATATTTAGACAGTTTATAATCACACTCTCATACCAAACCAACTGCGCATTAAACCAAGGGCCTTGAACCTTTTTTTAGGCTGACGACACCTTAGTGAATAGAGAATATAGACCTTAGTCAGGGTATAGTGCCATATTTAATTTTTGACAAGAATGAAAACAACGCTGTGAGAGACAGAAGTACAGTGCGTTTAATGGATTTGTACTATAATTTACCAACATAGCAATTGTTCAGCTGACAAAATAACTTTCCAAAGAAACTTTCAAGACAAGGCAAAA